AGGGTGTTGTGTAGTCAAGAATATATTTTGCAAAAGCTAACAAAGCAGGTATTCACCAGTGGCAGACAAAATGCTTTACAAAGGTGCCACGTTGGACTCATGTTATCTGTCACCCCTTGCCTTCTCACTGCACAAAGGTTAATTCCACTCTGACAAATGACCTCAGATAACTACCCTTGAATGCACTTAATGCCATTAATACTGTCATATTCACAGCATTAACACTCTCATAAAAGGACTGAATGTTATAGCTATCATATAGGAAAGAAAAAACATGAAATTGTTTAAACTGGTTACAACAGTACAGTAGACAAATCTTTCCTTCCACCTTTCCTGTATAAACATTGTCAGCTTAGAAATGCCAAAAAGACCGCTTAGAAATACCAAAAAGACCGCTTTGCCCTGGTAGAGTTAAAAACCGATTCATCCCATCATGTCGGCGAGACAATGCAACTGTTTCCACATTTGTGACTGCCACAACTGGCCCAGCAAACTTTATAGTACAGACTAGACCGAAGTGGAAGTTCGTTAAGTCAATTCATCATCAGTCCCACTACTGAGCTTCTCAGCTTTTAAAGATTCACACTGGGAAGTGGTCTGAGCCAATAACCCTTCAGATAGCCTCTTGCACTATGCAATTAGAGAGGGTTCCTGTGACAAAAGCAGCACCTCAAATCACTCACACTCGGTCTGAGTTCATTCCAAAACTCTACTTGTGACTGATTCTTAAGCTCATGTAAGCATGAGAACTAACATGGAAACTTAAACCTCCTTGTGGAAAATTAGTAGTCTGAAATAAGGGTTACACCTTCACTGTTTGGCAGAGGTTACACTATGGAAGAGCAATAGTGATGCAGTTACAATATTGACTGAGGTCAGCTGCTTTACCTCCATATCCTTAAAATACAGAAGGCAAGGCTTTTTATAGCAACAGGAAACTGCTTTTACATTTGTCAAAGATATTAAAACTGTCCCTCAGCAGTTGTATGCAATTAAGTTCTCTCCAGCATTACCTGCAGCTCCTGCTGTGAGGTCAATCGCAGCCTGAAGAGCGGAGTTGATCCTCATGCTTCACACTTGTTTATCAGTTACTTCAGAGTGAAGTCTCCTGTTTCCTGGCAGGTGTTGAGATACTTGCCTCCTGAGGGAAGAGGAAGATGAAGCATACACGATTTACAACAGTAACTCTGACAGGCAAAAGCATCACACGAATGCTTTCACTTCTACTCTTCTCTTTAGCTTGTTCTAAATTATGTAGAGACAGAAAATGCATGTCCCCAGGACTCAGACGCAGCATATTTGTATTTTGACTGACTAGTTTTGCCACCTTATGCAAGTTGTCTGGAGTATCACTGCCTGTCTTCAGATTACTTGGGCTTCCCAGCTTCTAGTCTCCCTGGATCTCTCAAATGAAAGCAAAGAGTACCTCCAGGGAACAGTGCATTACCTTTCTATTGACTACAGAAGCATAGTCTCCATCAGGTGTCTAAGGCTAGCTGGCAGGAATATTTCCCCCGTCTCTGCTCCCCACCTATAAAACAAAACCAGAGAATTCCTCTCCTCATGGTGAACAGCAGCTAAGAAAACGGTATTCACGATACAGGCACATTAGGTATTTCTACGTGGCTCTCAGAAGATACAAGCAGAAAAGGAATGAATACAAACATCTAGAATTGTGTCCGGCTGTCATGTTCCCAGTGCAAGCCATTCCCCTCCCCCAGCACATTATAAATAAAAGTTACACCTCATCTCTCAGGAAGGCAGCTGGAAAGCAAAAATACAAAAGTGACACTTTCAACTAAAACATTCAAATGAATTAAATTCTCAAGTTTGCAGCAAGGTAATTTCACAGGGCAAGCAGTTAAAACAAGCTTGCTTATCCAGAGTAAGATCACAGAGCCAAACATCTCCCACTGGTTCAGAACCGCGTCGCTGAAATAGACATTTGGCTGGCAGTGCTGTCAAAAAAGTTGCATGAGTCTTAAAAACCACACAAACACACACATGAGCCAGCCCTTCATTGACTGCTAAGCCTGTCTTCAAGCAGAATACATCAGTAAACAGAACATTTTTCACTTTTCTACCAACTGTAATGCTTCTTTTGAAGCCTGTTGTCTCCCAAAATACACTTTGGAGTAATACGAATGGGAAACAATTTCCAGTAGATTACATCAAAACAAAAATTAAAAAACCCCCAACACTGTACGACCCACGTCCTTTTTACAACTTCTACATTACAAGCACAGACACTTGCATACAAGCAAGCTTTAAGAAAGCCTGTGTCTAAAGAGATTTTTTTTTTTTATTCCTGAAGCTTAAAAACACAGCAGTAGGCCAAATACCGTCACTCAGTAACTTCATGTGTCCAGTCTGTTTCAGATGTGTTGCAGGAATCTGAACATGATGGGTTTAAAAAAAAATATACATTCACTACTCTTGTAATAAGCGACATTAATACATGCTATTTCTGAATTGTGGTTACAGATTTGAAGGGTTTCACCACTGACAGCACAGTGCGCTAGGTGTTATTTCAAAACGGAGGCTCTAAGACACATTTCATTACCCTATACACCTCATTAGCGTTCACACAGGACTCCACAGTTGTGCTTCTCATTTAGAGGAAGAACGACTGATACACGAGGCAGCCTCTGAATGAAAGGAATTACTGGAGAGCAACAATTGCCTGCCTTCAGTAAAACGCACACTGCTTACATCATGCTGAGTGCTTATCAACTTGTGCCAGTCCCCCAAGGGAGCACATGCCAAATCACCCACAGATACCCACTGAAAGCTTGGCAGCAGAAGGAAAAACAGAGGTGCCTGTAAAAACATGGAAGTTTTAAGAGCCAAGGAAGTTTAGTTTCACGATCCGTAAGGGCACATTGCCACTTGCAGGAGATTTAAGACTCAAGTCAAAACTACAACGGTATTGTATATGTACATACCTTCCCTCCTATTTTTTTCCTATTTGGAGTAAGAGCAGCAGACTAAAAAACGTTTTGTAGATACAGCAAGGCAACAACTCTGTTACTTCCAAAGCGAATCCAAACCTCAAACCTAGAAACATGGAGGCGTTAGTGAGCCTAACGGGCCCGGCACAGCCCTCTGCCCCGCAGCCCCAGGGGTCACCCTCTGCAGATGCCCGGGCGGCGGCACTGCTCCTTGCGAGGCCCCGCAAAGGCAGGCCGGCACCCCGCTTCCCTGGCCGCGGCAGGCCCGGCACCCCGCGGCAGC